ACACAAAGCCGGTGGTCATAGCGTACAAGTGTAATGAAGTGTACCATAGTATACATGGAGACGTTTGTTGACAACGCCGTGGCAGATGCAGAGGGTCTGTTTATAGGTTTAGGGTATGTTCAAATAAATTGACTACACATTGCTTAATCATCGGTATGCGATTCATTTTACTAACAGAAAACCTGTTGTGCAGAGAACATGTTTGTTGATGTTAACTTATAAATCAGATAAGCCTACACTGCTGGGATACTTTATTACAATCAGACAAAACATACCGGGGATATTTTCAAATAACGGCATGTGATAGGCATCCACCATCCTAATGTCCAACGGGTGAGGTTGAAGAAATTTTACCAAGGTGGACAGTAGCCCAGTCCCCGTGTCCGTCACGCTCGAGGGAGCAGGTACGGACGAGCTTGCAACTTGGTTTCGTAATTAGGCTGTTAATTAATCAGTTTCAGGTCAGTGCCCCCTTCCTAAGGGTACGTATGATTTGTTTTAGGGGAGTATGATGCGTCAGCATATGTAATATAGATGGTCCACATTATTTGGTCGTCTAGCGTACTTGATCATGACTGGTATCGTTGCTGTTTGTTTTGATGTTTAAAGGCGCACGCAGCAGTATTAAGGCTATATGACAGTGGACTGTACATAATCGAGACTGGACCAGACAATTCACTTATTAACGTCGTGAGCATCGATTTACATAGATATGCATCAACCAAGCTTCACTACCCGATTCTGTTAGTCGCTTCTTATAGTTTAAACCTGGGTTGCTGAAGACAAATTTTAAGGGACCGTTCATAATTTATGGCTGGGAGGTGTGTGTGATATAATGATTTTTATGGAGAAGCATGTGCAATGTGAATGACACCTACCACCCCATCCCCCACCCACCTTAAATGTATGTACAAAGTAAGAGACCCCCCTGCATGTCAAGTACAAAATCAGTTATCCCCCAGTACATGTGTACAAAATGGGTGACCCCCTACGGAAGCGTCCTAGTGTCGCAGTCAGATTTTTTTTATCTCCTAATGAGGACTTAGCTATCTCCTAATTAGGTGATACTATCTCCTAATGATGACTTAGCTATCTCCTAATTAGGACATGAACATAATTTCTGGCTTTTAAATTGGGTGGGGGGTTACGAAATCATCCTAGTGCCACTCAGAATATTTTTATCTCCTAATTAGGACTTAGCTATCTCCTAATTAGGTGATACTATCTCCTGATTAGGACTTAATATCTCCTAATTAGGACATAGCTATCTCCTAATTAGGTGATATTATCTCCTAACTAGGATTTAATATCTCCTAATTAGGACATAGCTATCTCCTAATTAGGTGATACTATCTCCTAATTAGGACCTAATATCTCCTAATTAGGACATAGCTATCTCCTAATTAGGAGTTAATATCTCCTAGTTAGGACTTAGATATCTCCTAATTAGGACTTAGCTATCTCCTAATTAGGTGATAATATCTCCTAATTAGGACTGACTATCTCCTAATGATGACTTAGCTATCTCCTAATGATGACTTAGCTATCTCCTAATTAGGACTTAAGGATCTTATAAATATGTATGAAGAAGTCAACCAGTAGTCATTCACTTCTTTTGTTTGGGTTTAGCATCTTGGATGAAGTCATTGATGAAAGCATATGCATTTGTTTCATGTTTGGCATGCACTATTCAGAACTTGTGTCTTGTTTGGCCCATGTAAATGCCTTCATTATAAGCATGAAGACTTTGAAAAGGAAATCAAAACGACTGAATCTGTTTAGGCGAAGACATAATAGTGATATGGCAGAAGTTGCTATGTTCGTAGTGAAAGTGAATGAGTGAGTATGGTTTTACGCCGCTTTTAGCAATATTCCAGCAATATCACGGCGAGGGACCGTATTGAAAGAGGTAGAAGAATCAGGACAAATGTGTGCTTACAAGCTTATGCATCTGAAATGCATACAAGAGGGATTCATTATCAGTTAAGACATGGTGCTGAGTAAAATGAGAAATGAAATGAGAGTACAAGAACACCCAACTGCATGTACTTCCATAGAGAACGGGCAGCCTCCTGAATGTGAGAGGCTACCACACTAATGACGTCACGAGGGGGAATCCCTCTTGTTTCCTCTATAGCATGGCCGACGCCATGTTGAAAAAACTCAAGTCGTCCATTTGTGTAATGACACATGCCTACACAAATGCACGTTTGTAAAGCGAAATAAACAATGACAACATACAACTTCTATACACAATATTTAATATCCTCGTGCATGGGTTGGAGAGCCTCCCCAATCCACCCTTACAATCTATATACAAATGTCTCTTGAAATATACAAATACACTTTACACATCTCACTACCATGTGGTGGTGTCTAGTGGTGTGTGGTGGTGATGGTGGTGTGTTGTGGTATGTGGTGGTGGGTGATGGTGATGGTGGTGTGTGGTGGTGTGTGGCGGTGTGTGGCGGTGTGTGGCGGTGTGTGGTGGTATGTGTTTGTGTGTGTGGTGGTAGTGGTGGTGGTGGTGCTGTGTCTGCGTCTGCGTCTGCGTCTGCGTCTGCGTCGTCGTCAGCGTCAGTGGAACCACATTTTGGCATTCATCAGAATGTCTGAGATAGCTATGTCCTAATTAGGAGATAGTAACTCCTAATTAGGAGATAGCGAAGTCCTAATTAGGAGATATTAAGTCCTAATTAGGAGATAGTATCACCTAATTAGGAGATAGCTATGTCCTAATTAGGAGATATTAAGTCCTAATTAGGAGATATTATCACCTAATTAGGAGATAGCTAAGTCCTACTTAGGAGATATCTAAGTCCTAATTAGGAGATATCTAACTCCTAATTAGGAGATAGCTAAGTCCTAATTAGGAGATAGTATCACCTAATTAGGAGATAGCTCTGTCCTAATTAGGAGATGTTAAGTCCTAATTAGGAGATAGTATCACCTTATTAGGAGATAGCTATGTCCTAATTAGGAGATATTAAGTCCTAATTAGGAGATAGTATCACCTAATTAGGAGATAGCTAAGTCCTAATTAGGAGATAGTATCACCTAATTAGGAGATAGCTAAGTCCTAATTAGGAGATAAAAATATTCTGAGTGGCACTAGGATGATTTCGTAACCCCCCACCCAATTCAAAAGCCATAAATTATGCTCGTTCCCTAACCAGGTTGTAAACGGGTTGAATAGAGGGAATGATTTCGTGTGAGATTATTAAATCTCATGACAAAAAGAATAATTTTTAATTCACGAGTGCAAAATCGCAGCAAATTGTTATTCACTCACTCCTTCAAAATGTCTCTAGCCTGTTGTTCAATATTAGCATCGGCCTTATCAAGCTACGTCAAAGTGCCTTATAAAATTTGCCTGTAACAATGTAACAATGAAATTAACACCCAGAGGATATATGTTCACTAGCAGTGTTGCGGGTGGGGAGGATGTGGGGGTGGGATGTTTCAGGGGTTCGGGGGTATTAATGAGCTACGGTCTCCAGCAGGATTACGTTAATGTTACAAACGTGGGAAAAACCCATTCCGACTAAAAATCCACGTCAGCCTGATTTGATTTTGTGGTGGTGTAGTTATCTATTCATAGACGGGAAAAACCCAAGTTTTCACAAATAGACGTGACGCATGTGGTGAGGCTTAACTGTGAGTAAATTGATCCCGAGAGCAATCTACTTCAATGGTAAGTCTTCTTTGTTTTAATCTGATTATGAGTTATGAATATTTATATTGCCAAGTTGATCCCAAATACAAAATTATTGATTGATGTTATTGGTGGATGTGTGGAAATATTCAGATGAGTACAATTGAATACTGATTTGATTTGCATTAAATGCGCAATATATGCCCAGTTCCATGCCTTGCCTTGACTGTTATGTACCAGAACGTTTGAAAGGGCTAGACCACTCTATTTTCTTATAACCTTTAGCGAATCTTGCCCATTGCAGTGCAGGTTACATACATGCCTACACTTTCTGAGGTGTATTGACCCCTTAGATCAGAACAAGTTTATAGCAAAGCGTACTCTAAACTATTCACTGTTAGTTTTAACCCATCTTAGGATGATCCGACGGGTAGAATGGACGTCCTTGACAGTTTGCGACCTTTGACACTGAAATCCTACTCTCTTGGAAAATTCAACACCTATTATTACGAAAAGTTCTTTTGATCAGAATATTTTGAAAACTATAGGTCTTTAGTAACCCATGATTGTCGTAAGAGGCGACTAACGGGATCGGAGGGTCAGGCTCGCTGACTTGGTGGACACATCCCAATTGCGTAAATCGATGCTCATGATGTTGATCACTGGATTGTCTGGTCCAGAATCGATTATTTACTGACCGCCGTCATATAGCTTGAATATAGCTGATTGCAGCATTAGACAACAAACCAACCAATCTTTGAGAATGACTGACGTGTGGGATAATTGGTGACTATTTAACATGCACTGCTTGTTCGTGGGGTCACTTTAAAGGCAATTAGTGGATCAGACATGTATTAGATACACATCGCTAAATAAGCTTTGGAGTGTCTCACCAGATATATCAGCCAAGCTAATGAATTGAGACACAAAGCCGGCGATCATAGCTTACAAGTGTAATGAAGTGTACGAGAGTATACATGGAGACGTTTGTTGACAACGCCGCGGCAGATGTAGGGGGTCTGTTTATAGGTTTAGGGTCAGTTCAAATAAATGGACTGCACATTGCTTAATCATCGGCATGCGATTCATTTTCTAACTAAGTTAACTATAACTAAGTGGAGTCCAACATTCTACAAACAATATCCCCCTCCCTCTCTTGCTTCCCCCTCCCTCTCTTGCTTTTCCTCCACCTCCCCAACCCCTCCACGTTTGAGTTTGTGTTAGTGTGGTAATCTATTCTTAGACGGGGAAAACCCAATCTACCAAAAATAGACCTGACGCTTGCGTTGAGGCGTAGCTACAAAAGGCAAATCCTCATTGGTAAGTATTGTTTGTTTGTTTGTTTCTATCTATGACTAAGACAGTCCCGGACCCGCTTTCACCACCCAGTCCCATAGAGCGAATGTTCTTCTTAACTGATACGGGGAGACACGCACAGCTGTTTTGAAGTTCATGACTCGAGTTTGCTGGGACTGCCACTTTGCACAGGTTGTGTCCCTTTAAACATTTTTCTCACTTGAATGTTGGCGCACATGCCTTTTTGAACATGCACTGGCTATGTGGCTATGTTTCTTTCTCAATGAGTGAGTTTAGTTTTACGCTGCACTCAGCAATATTCCAGCTATATGGCGGCGGTGTGTAAAAAAATGATTCTGGACCAGACAATTCAGCATCGATTTTTCTGAAAAGCAAAAAGGATATGGTTTAAGTGAAGAGTATACAAATTCTCAAATACGCCGGGAAAGACATAATCTTCATGTCTTAAAGCTAATCTGCGTTACACGTGTGTTTTTTTTCTGAAGCCGGAAGTGATGTCTCTTAGATGGAGCCACAAGATTTATTTATTTGACATACATGTACTATCTATTTCAGTGCTCTTCCCGGGAAAATTGCAGACCCTAAAATGAACTGGAAGCGATTGGGATATGCTTTAATCTTGGTGAACGTAGTGCTGTTATTGTCTGTTGTGACTATAGCACTATGGACAGTGTATTCCAACCTGGCACAGAAGCGGAGCTCGGAGGTTAGTAAAGTCATGTTCATATAGGGATATGCCTATTTAATAATACACATGACGTGAGACAAGCTTTACATAAACAGACGTACTTTACTGACCAACTTTCCGGAAGAATATGAAAATTGAATACAAGTGTCGAGCAGTTTTGAGTTAATGCATACGAGTTATGCACTCAAACACCAGAATACAAATTCATACAGTAGCACTCATATACTCCTGAACACACACACACGCACGCACGCACGCACGCACACATGCACACACAACAGGTTTGAACAGGATTGTGTTTGAACAGTCAAAACATTAATTGTCATTTCATGTCTTTCTTACAGGAAGTGGTGATCGAAACCCTGGGACGGCAAGGTAAAACACTGATCATAAGAAGAGTTGATAGGGATGCTTTGCTTAATGTGCCTTTGTGTATTAAGCTCACGTATTCAGCACTATAGTGCGTTTCATTTGCATTGTGAAGAGTCAGTGTAGGATATATTGCTGGGATATTGCTCAAAGCGATGTCAAAATTCACTACTAACATTTTAATGAGAGCCAGGGTGGCCCTGTCGACTTAACTGTGAAGAGTTGCGTCTCTTCAGTGCGCTATACACCTGTGATTCCGGGTTTGAAACTTGGTGTTCCCAGATTATCTTTCTAGGTGTGACAACCCAGCACCCAAGGGTTTTACTCTTTAAGTGTTAAACGTCTCAGATCTGCATCGGTTCGGTGGGGTAGGCAGAGGTTAAAGCGTCGCTTGTTACGCCGAAGACCCGGGTTCGATTCCCCACGTCGGAACATTTGTGAAGCACATTTCAGGTGTGCCCCCGTGATATTGCTGGAATATTGCTAAAAGCGGTGTAAGACTAAACCCACTCACTCAGACATGCATCACTTGGGACCTCCCTAAGTTCCCACATTTAACTGCCGCCCGTGATATCGCTGGAATACAATTAAAAGAGGCGTTGAACCCAACTCACTCACCCACTTGGGATGTTTACAGTTAATCAGTCCCGCTCTGCAGACGCACGTGTTTTGTATCAGGGAGACATGGAAGTGTTCAATCCCACTCGACCAGTCCTCCACCAAGGCTTCATGATACACCGCTCGTCTAGTGGTAAGTTTCACGTCTTCAATTAAATTCAGTGAAATGTATTTATACAAGTACAATAACACAGATAGGACAACATGAAGACAATATTCAAAGGCAATATTTCTGCACATTTCAGTTGTTGTGTTTTGAACAAAAAGCCTCAAGCTTCCACTTCTGTAACGTGGATGTTTTTCATGCAAATCTTCTCTAAATTTTAATTTATTGTCTCCTCATTTCTCCTAATTATTCTTACATTACTTTATTTTTCTTCACAAAAGAGAAATTTTGAGAATTTTATCGTCGCTTGGATCGGTTAAAATGAAACGAGAAAATACTCGAAAGTTCAAGAAAATAGTTTAAATAACAAGAAAATGATCAAAGCATCGAAAACTCTCTCTGACAAAACATAATCCATGCTACAAAATTGGCAACATTAGGGCATCGCAGGGAGAAGGCGATCATAAGTGGTGCACTTGTGCCTTATCCCGTTATCTCTTGGACAATAACATATGTTTCAACCAAAGACATTGTAGTTTTGCCTGCAAACCGTGATATATCCTACAGGCAGCAGCATTGTCAAGGTGGACATTGGTGCTCCTCAAGAAGCGATGACCTCCTTTCTCCAGGGTTTCCAGTTGGATAATGGCGACGTTTACGTGCCTTTATCCGGCTACTACCTCTTCCACATGGACGTGACCTACTTCTTCCGGGGTCACGTCGACGGCTCACAGGTCAACGTGTACGTGACGTGCACCCGGTCCGACTCAAAGGAAGTTCTTGTAAAGATAACACAATGGTGTCGGATAGGGAGATATTGTTCTGTTACATTCCATGGCATTTCGTTTCTGTCTCAGGGTCACATTGTTTACTGCGAAGCCAGCCATGTCAATGACATGATCACAGCCATTGAGAATACTCACATCAGTCTTGCATTATATTGAATATGCTTGTTTTTGGCATAGCGCTTTTACATTTGTTTTCCTCATTTATCTGAGCCAGTTTAAGCTATTAAAGAGGCATTACTGATTTTTTTATTATGCTTATATTTTGTTTGCTGTTTAACTCCGCTCTCAGCTCTCCATTTATGTGGCGGCTGTTTGTAAGTAATCGAGTCTGAGCCTGGGAATCCAGTGGTTAAGATCATGAGCATCGATCAACGCACACGATTTTGTCAATTAGTATTTCACTATTTATCATTGAACCTTGCTACTAATATTGTTGCAAGGAAAAACTGCAAGTCATACAAAGCTCTTACAAAGCCTATAGTGCGACAGCAGCCAAATCAAGGTTCTGTTTCGGAGTAAATGCATGAGTGAGTTTAGTTTCACGCCGCTTTTAGCAATATTCCAGCAATATCACGGCAGGGGACACCAGAAATGGGCTTCACACATTGTACCCGTGTGGAGAATCGAACCCGGGTCTTCGGCGTGAAGTGCTAACGTTTTAACCATTAGGCTACCCCTCTGTCCCGGAGTTGGGGCGGTGGGGTAGTCTAGTGGTTAAAGCTTTGGCTCGTCACGCCGAAGACCCGGGTTCGAATCCCCACATGGGTACAATGAGTGAAGCCCATTTCTGGTGTCCCCCGCCGTGATATTGCTGGAATATTGCTAAAAGCGGCGTAAACCCAAACTCAGTCAGTCTGTCCCGGAGTAAAAAGGGGAGGCAAACCCACTATTAGTTCATCCTAACACTTGCACCACAAGGAGATTTAACGATTGCAATGGAAATAACTCGCTTTATTGTTTCACAACTGGATTCAATGACACATTTATATAATCAGTACGAATGCAATTGTTGAAATTGGTCAGGTCAGTGCGTTGACGTCAACTTTATCCGATTATCTTGACTGGCCCAGCCGATATCCACTGTCCGATGAGTTGTCGGATCCTGGCTCTGGCTTGAGTGAGAGCAGCGGTGTCCGTGGCAGCAGGAGTTGCCATGATTGGGATGTGGCCAGCACCTGCAGCATGAAACAAACTACAACATTACAACAATTCAACAAATACAACTTCCTGTTGCAGCTGCCAAAGAGATTGCCGTTATGTTTTCACATGTTTTCCTCACTGTGTAAGTAGGAGGCGGGGTAGCCCAGTGGTTAAAGCGTTCGCTCGTCCCGCCGAAGACCCGAGATCGATTCCCCACATGGGTACAATGTGTGAGGCCTATTTCTGGTGTGCCCAGCTGGAATGTTGCTAAAGGTGGCGTAATACCATACTACCTCATCGTGTAGCTGTTATTTCCAGTGTAGTGTAGTTCAAAATGGCTTGTTATCATTTGGTTCTGGATTTCGTGAAAGAAATACACCCTTAGTTGGAGATTTGTGTTTGCAGATGAATTGTTACTGCCTCTTATATTGTTCTAATGTTTCGTTGATATTTTTATTTATTCCATAAACCAAACTTTATATTTGATCCTGTATTTGTCTAACCCAAACCAGCATAGTCGTCATCGGTTATCGAGTGAGTGAGTGAGTGAGTTATGTTTTACGCCGCTTTTAACAATATTCCAGCAACACCACGGCGGGGGACACCAGAAAATGGGCTTCACATATTGTACCCATGTGGGGAATCGAACCCGGGCCTTCGGCGTGCCGAGCGAACGCTTTAACCACTAGGCTACCCCACCGCCCCCATCGGTTATCGAATAGAAATCAGTTAAATTATGATTTATTATGTTCGTGTTCTATGTTAATATTTATTTGATCTCCCTCTCACCCCTGTGTATTGTTTAAAAGCACTCAATTTTATTCCAACGATATAAGTAATGAAGTCTGAACCGGTCAATCCAATGATTGACATCATGATAGTCAGTCTACACAACGGGAAACGACGACATGCATCAAGCACCTAGACGAGCCTGACCATCCGATCCCCCTCAGTCGCCTCGTACGACAAGCATGTGTTGCTGAAGACGAGGTCTAAACCGGGTCCTGTTTTCCCCGCTTCTATTCTTCATGTGACTCAATTACACCATTTGACAAAGATAATGACAATATTTTATTATCCGTGAGGTAATTCTTTTGTAAAGTACAGAGCTCAAACACTGATAAAATGATTAAATTATTTTCATACAATAAATAACACACATATAACACGCTAACAAGGTGAGAGAAACACTAGGAATCATTTAAAAGATTAATACTCGCAGGAACAAAGGATTTCATGGCACGATTGGATTTAAAACGGGGTAAATTATAACGGCGCCCAGAAGGCAGTAATTTATATTCATAGTGGATGGGATGATCTGGATGAGATATAATCTGACGGGCTGACCCGAGAACTCTTTATTCATATATTTCATTTAGGTTAGCAAAAGATACACCTGCAATTTTACTGGCTAATAAAACTATTCGGGTGGGACAGTTTCTGTTTATAAGGGACAAGGTTCCATACAAGCATTGTACAGAAAAAGCCAGAACGCCCTGTATAAACCACTGATAGAAAAGACACATAATATAACATAAGTAACATACAATGTGTTTGTACCAGTCCATCAGAAGTTGACCGCCTCCGTGGTGTAGTGGTTGTGGTTAGAGCGTCCGGCCGGAGAGCGGAAGGTCGCGGGTTCGAACCCCGACCGCGTCATACCAAAGGACGTAAATTTTGGTACTTGTTGGTTCCTGCTTGGCGCTCGGCATTAATGGGTAAAACAAAGACTGGTCGGATCGGAGTATAATGTGTCTGAGTGGGGTATTCATGCTTCACTGCGACATGGTATTTCAGTGGGCTAGCACTATAAAACCAGCTTCAGTTTGGGCTAGTACAAGCAGCCGCACATACACATACACACGCATGCACGTCGTCATATGAGCGAAATATTCTCAAGCACGATGTTAAACCCCATTTCACCTCACCTCACCATCAGCAGTTACCACAAAACTAACCAACCTATCATAACTACATCAATGTTGTCTTCCACACATTTCAGAAAAGTGAAGGGTAACTTAACTCGTTTCCAGCTGAATACTTCCCCCCCCCCCTATAAACACATTTAACCATATCGTGACATGAAGGATTAAACTTACCGTTGATGACAACAACATGGGCCCCGGGTTCGGGTCTGTCCTAAATCCATACTTATAAAATGGGTCAAAGGATCCTTGGCTGTAGACGATGTTGGTGTTCTTTACGTCAAGCCCGGCGTAGTTGGTAATTAAGTCCTCGTGGCCTTTCAGAATCAGAGCCCGGTTGAATTCATGACCGAAGAAGCCTTCACAGCCTTTGAGAAAGTATCTGGTATCAAAGGAATCACACATCAGCGTTTATAGATCAGATCGTTGTTGGGTTAGAAAGATGAGATGTTTGTCAGTCTTCTGTCAGGATTTCAGAGAGTTAGGATTTCTACGACAATATGTATATCTGGTCTGAGTTTCGTGTGTATATCCTCAGCATATTCATTACAGCCCGTTTGATTTCATTTGAGACCGATGAATTGCTCACTAACACACAATCTAATAACCGCAACAGGACCAACTTTTGCACAGTCACATGAAATCGACAGACCAACTGTGATGATTTGTCTTATAATTATGGGCAAAATTTGTTTAACAAACGATCATTATTTTCTTGTCACATTTCGCTATTTGTTTTACGATGGGGGACTACTTGTGTTATTGAGCAACACATCGGTCTCAAATGATATCAAATGATATGAAACGGATAGTAACTAGGAGAACAGGAGAATCTTGCCGACTCCTCAGTGCGAAGGAGCCGAAGTATATCCATTGTCAAAATGACAAGTGATGAATTTAGAGCTGGTCTAACCTCAAACTTTCAAACAGCCATAACAGCTTCCGCACATTCTCTGTATAAGACTCCTGATTATCATCTGAGGTATATCAGTGCAATTCGTCTTGTAGATCAACCCGTAACGATCCGGGTTAGAATTAATCTTCAGCAACCTATTCTGGTGAGCTAACGAGATCAAGTGGTCAGACCCCATGAATTCAATCATCGTCATATAGCTGTAGTATTGCTGAGTATGATGTTTAACATAAAAATGTACGATGACTTTAAACAATCGCACAATCCTCGCCTTTGAGAATTCTCAACAACAAACTTGGGTTCTTAGAAACTATTCAGGACAGGAATCCCGACACAACACAGGCTACAACGTGTACATTTATAAAAGTACCTACAAGTTGATTTGACTTGTGAAGTAGAAGATCACCCAATGCCTGCACTTACTCTTCACTCAAGGCTTGTCCGAAGGGTTGATTGTTTGCATATGTTGGAGTAAACAAACCAGTCTGAGTGCACTTCTGGTACCTCCACTGACGTCCTGCAAAGTAAATCTTTGTTTCAACAAGGATTGATGAAGAGGCAACTGGACACAAATTTGCTCACATTCAGATTGTATCCTAAAGGATGCGTTCACTCGTGTTCGCGCTATTCCCTCCTAAACCGTAATCCAACCTCGTCTTTCGACTTAACGTTTAATGTACATTGAGACTTTACAACTGAGAATGCCTTCTCTTCTTCTGAACATATTCACAATACTGTACTTACAATAGCCCGTATAACAAGAATGGGTGGACATGAAACCAAGATTACATCACAAACAAAGTTTTTTAAAGAATATCTTGTACTGAGAGAAGAATGCTTTCATAAGCACGGGGCGATCCGCGTTTCTTTGTTTGTTGTTTAATGCTGCGAACAGCAATATTCCAGCTATACGGCGGCCGTCTGTAAAATAATCGAGTCTAGACCAGACTTTAGTGGGTAACAACATAAGCATCAATCTACGCAATTGGGATACGACATGTGTCAACCAAGTTAGCGAAGCTGACTACCCGATCCCGTTAGTCGCCTCTTACGACAAGCATCGGTTGCTGAAGATCAATTCAAACTCGGATCTTCACGGTTTCCCAACCAGCTCTGAACAGTTGGGGCGTATTCTTGTGGCTCAAGACGAAAGGTCTGGGTTCGATTCCCCACATGGCTGCAATGAATGGAGATCATTTCTAATGTCGCCCCCGTGATTTGTTTTTGAATACGCAGTAAAATCATACTCAGTCACGCTAAGGTTTCGTTGCCTTAAATAATTGAGATAACTGTATAACTTGTTCGTAGCTAATGAGAACCGACAATACCTGACAATACGTTTTTGTCGCTGTAGTTTATATCGCTGCCCAAGCTCACTGCTCTCTCGAATGTAATGTTCATACATTGACCGTTAAGGTATGTATAATTTTGATTGACGATCCCAGCATAGGTTGCAAATCGTTCTAGCGGCGTCCCTGCTGCTTTGTCAGTGAGCAGTTTACACATGGTAGACACGGATCGAACGGGCAGGGCACTCTGAAAAAAGATTGGCATACAACATCACGTTTGTGTTTGTACTATACGGGTCACATACACATCCTTTATAACACAGTTCTATTGTCTGTCATGTCGTATTTGTGAGTGAGTGATTGAATATGTTTTTACGTCGCTTTTAGCAATATTCCATTAATATCACGGCAGGAGACACAAGAAATAGGCTTCACACATTGTTCCCACGAAAGAAATTGAACCCGGCTTTTGGCGTGAAGAGCGAACGCTTTAACCATTTGTCTACCCAACCACCCACGATCACGGATTAAGAACATGTGTAAATAATAATGTTTTGAAGTACCTACCATGACATTGGGAACGTCCTGATTGAATAATGCTGTAAAATCAATCAGGCTAACAAGATTCATCATCAAATTCTCGATGTCCAGTTTGTTTGAAGCGTCGAAGGCACAGAACCTGTAATAAATGTAACATGTCATTGCGTATTCGTATGTATTAATTAGGAGATAAACGTACTGTGTTGGAAAATCAGAGGTATATAACGAAATTATAATAGCTCTAAATTTGATTTGAAACCGAACGCGTAGCATGAAGTTTTAAATAGAAAATTTAGAGCTATTATAATTTCGCTATATGCCTCTGATTTTCCAACATTGTACGTTTATCTCCATTCTACCACAAACGCGTTATTAAGATTGAAGAAAAATACATACAGTGTTGGAAAATCAGAGGTATATAATGCGATTATATACCTCTGAATGACTTTGATTAACCAATCACAATCCAGTATTTACTGAAGTCATGGTAGAATACATAATGTAAATCTGCGGATAGAAAAGGATGTGTTTAAACCCTTAACTAACCGGACTATGACCATTGTATGCCATTTTCACAAGGTGGGACACATGGTTCTTTGTGTTCCTTAAACATGTTGAAACATATGCTGATACAGGAACGTCCGTCGCGGCAGAACAACGGCAACAAATGAACGTGGGTAGACTCCAACCCCAGCACTCGTGGGTATTCCGTGTTGGAATTTATCCACAGCAATTTGTGTTCAAACGTATGCTATTCTATGTAACATATGTTATTTTTTGGATTACACTTCCTTAGTAAAGTACAGATTCTAGTACTTTTGGGGATTGAATCCCATCCGGGATTCGAACCCACACCCACAGAGTTAGGCATCTAATCGCCCGATTCGAACCCACACCCGGGATTCGAACCCACACCAACAGAGTTAGGCATCTAATCGCCGTACACATTTGCTATACGGTAGAGGCGAGTAAGTGGATCGGATCGTAGCACACACGTATTCCACACATCTGTGTGTGTGTGTGTCTCTGTGTGTGTCTGTCTGTCTCTCTCTCTCTCTCACTGTATGTCTCTGTCTCTCTGTATGTGTGTGTGTGTGCGCGTGCGTGTTTGTCTGTGTCTGTGCAACAACACACCTCACCTGAAGAGCGACTGCAGCTTCTTGACGCCAGCATCCGTCTTGAGACTTGCCCTGATTTCATCAAAAATACCTGACACTGCCTCGTAGCATCCTGATTCGGTGCGCAAATCTTCTCCGACAGTAACATGGTACTCTGAAAGCGTTTACAAAAAAAGATTGATTATAACAGACTATTTTGATTTACACGGACACACGTATAAATAATCTATTACAAAAATAGATTGATTATAATTTGACACACGTATTAATACCTGCGGCAAACAATCACTGGATTGTCTGGACCAGATTCGAGTTTGTACAGGCCGTGGTCACTGATACAGACAGACAGACACATACTTACCTGTGATAAACACCGGCGAAAGGACTGGTGCACTGTCAGCTACAGCTCCCGTGACGAGATGGGGGAACTTGTACTGGAACCATGTAGTCATCAAACCTACCATTCAAATGAACATTGTACACATTCATGTGTTAAATAGCAAATTTGGTTTAAAGCAATGTCGAGATTGGGTGGTCAGGGCTGCTGACTTGGCTGAGACATGTCATCGTATCTATAAAGCCTACACCGACGCTCATGATATCAACCACTGGATGTGGCCTATTAAACAAATAACAACCAATCTGGGAAAGAAACTGAAGCATGTATAGCTGTACAATAAAATCAACCCAGATTCTTCCTGAGATTACGATTTGCGTATTTCGAATTATAGGCCTTTTCTAAGAGCTGGAATATAGCTAACTGCTGCACAAAACATTCTTTGCTTGTTCTCGGTCTTAGTAGTTTTCTTGCATGTTGCCAACACCAATCCGATCGGAGCAGATGTCAGTAACGTGCTTCTGATGCCACCATACTACCTGCGTAGGATCCACCAAATATGATCCACTTCGGGTTCTTGAAGTTGCGTTCCTTGTTTGTCTCGACTATGAAGGTAGCCAAGTCCTCCTGCGCTTGTTCAACGGTCAGGTATTGTAGACTATTAACACTCAAGTCCCTGGCCATGCAACAAACAACAATGTTGTGAAGAATACGACACTGATTGATGATAAAGTGACAAGTCCATGAACCGTCTAGACCATTCCATCCCTGAACAATTTTGTCTTGAATCAAATAGTAATTGTGTCTCGGTCCTATATTCACACATAAATCACACAGATATTTCTTTTGAAAGTAAATTCATTGTAAACTATCGATTACCATGATCACATCTTCACGAATCATGATGAAGTTCAGATAATACTAGGTCACAGCAAATTAGTGTATCTTGCTCCACTGGTGGTACCCTTCAAGAACTCATGTAAAGTCATGTCCAATACGTATTTTACAGTGGGACATAGGTTACTGGTGCGCTAAAGTTGGAAAAGTACTACATGTCAAAAATGAAACTTTTACAATGGCCTTGAAAGTTGTCTCCTCGATCAAAGAACTGAACACGATTCGTTTGCCACTCATCGTAGAAAGAGCCTGGTCGATGGGAACTCAACACTTGTACAAAGAAAATGGATCTGCGCTTCGAGGATAATTCTCTAAGCTTGTCTACAAATTTCAAGCACACCCGTCTGTTTTCCTGACGCATTTATTTATATAGAAAGCTATCAGCATAGTTATATATCACTTACGGTGTTGGATGACTTTTCCCATAAAACCGATGCTCCACAGCAAAACCAATGGCGTGGAAGGTCTTGGCATATTCTATCCAAGCTCCATTCCGAGTAAATACAGTAGTAGTCAGAGCTGCCTGTTGACCTATAAATAGGAAGACAGGCCCACCTGGCTTGTAGAACTTGTCGACGACATAATACCGCTGAAATCACAGAATTAAAGGCACTATATCACACCACACTCCTCTAGAATAAATAATGCAACTGAAACAAGACTGAAACAAGCTCACCTGCTTCCAGTAGCGAGAATCCACCACGTTGAAGTGGTCCAGTTTCTGATCGAACCATTGTTCAGGATATGCTGTGGATGGACCATCTTCAATGCCTGAAACAAGGGAGCCTGCTCCTTCCACTACCAGAAAAAGGCACACGAGGCACACGAGGAAGGTATTCATGGTGGTGATGTAACGCAATGTGTTCAACTAGCAGTATCCCGAAACAAGCGCATTTTTATAGAGGGGCGAGTTGTGCAGGTCATTGTTTACTTTAGCAGATATGGTGGCGTCACATAGTTATTTTGCTTGGATACATATAGTAACTCAAGGTTACAAGACGGCAGTGTATGAATATTCATGATGAATCGACAGAAACAACGTTTTGGGTGCTGCACTCTGACCTTAATTAAAACTACTTTTGCACGATTGAAAAACACTGAAATCAATTTGCTTCTCTGTATGCACAAGTTTGCTTGTGTGCTTCACTGTATGGTTGTGTGTATCACTGTATGGTTGTGTGTATCACTGTGTGGTTGTGTGTATCACCGCATGGTTGTGTGTATCACTGTATGGTTGTGTGTATCACTGTATGGTTGTGTGTATCACTGTATGGTTGTGTGCATCACTGTATGGTTGTGTGTATCACCGCATGGTTGTGTGTATCACCGCATGGTTGTGTGTATCACTGTATGGTTGTGTGTATCACTGTATGGTTGTGTGTATCACTGTATTGGTATCACCGTATGGTTGTGTGTACACCGTATGGTTGTGTGCATCACTGTATGGTTGTGTGTATCACTGTATGGTTGTGTGCATCACTGTATGGTTGTGTGCATCACCGCATGGTTGTGTGTATCACTGTATGGTTGTGTGTATCACTGTATGGTTGTGTGCATCACCGTATGGTTGTGTGTATCACCGTATGGTTGTGCGTATCACTCTATGGTTGTGTGTATCACCGTATGGTTGTGTGCATCACCGTATGGTTGTGTGTATCACTGTATGGTTGTGTGCATCACTGTATGGTTGTGTGTATCACCGCATGGTTGTGTGTATCACTGTATGGTTGTGTGTATCACTGTATGGTTGTGTGTATCACTGTATGGTTGTGTGTATCACCGCATGGTTGTGTGCATCACTGCATGGTTGTGTGTATCACTGTATGGTTGTGTGCATCACTGTATGGTTGTGTGTATCACCGCATGGTTGTGTGTATCACTGTATGGTTGTGTGTATCACCGCATGGTTGTGTGCTTCACCGCATGGTTGTGTGTATCACTGTATGGTTGTGTGTATCACTGTATGGTTGTGCATCACTGTATGGTTGTGTGCATCACTGTATGGTTGTGTGCATCACTGTATGGTTGTGTGCATCACTGTATGGTTGTGTGCATCACTGTATGGTTGTGTGCATCACTGTATGGTTGTATGGTTGTGTGCATCACTGTATGGTTGTGTGCATCACCGTATGGTTGTGTGCATCACTGTATGGTTGTGTGTATCACTGTATGGTTGTGTGCATCACTGTATGGTTGTGTATCACTGTATGGTTGTGTGCATCACTGTATGGTTGTGTGTATCACTGCATGGTTGTGTGTATCACTGTATGGTTGTGAGTATCACTGCATGGTTGTGTGTATTACTGCATTTATGTGTGTATCACTCTATGGTTGTGTGTATCACTGTATGGTTGTGTGTATCACTGCATGGTTGTGTGTATCACTGTATGGTTGTGTGTATCACTGTATGGTTGTGTGTATCACTCTATGGTTGTGTGTATCACTGCATGGTTGTGTGTATCACTGTATGGTTGTGTGTATCACTGTATGGTTGTGTGTATCACTGTATGGTTGTGTGCATCACTGCATGGTTGTGTGTATCACTGTATGGTTGTGTGTATCACTGTATGGTTGTGTGTATCACTGTATGGTTGTGTGCATCACTGTATGGTTGTGTGTGTCACTGTATGGTTGTGTGTATTACTGCATTTATGTGTATCACTGTATGTTTGTGTGTATCACTGTATGGTTGTGTGTATCACTGCATAGTTGTGTGTATCACTGTATGGTTGTGTGTATTACTTTATTTATGTGTTCATCACTGTATGGTTGTGTGTATCACTGCATGGTTGTGTGTATCACTCTATGGTTGTGTGTATCACTGCATGGTTGTGTGTAACACTGTATGGTTGTGTGTATCACTGTATGATTGTGTGTAACACTGCATGGTTGTGTGCATCACTGCATGATTGTGTGTAACCCTTAATGGTTGTTTGTATCACGGTATGGTTTTGTGTATCACTGCATGGTTGTGTGTATCACTGTATGGTTGTGTGTATTACTGCATTTATGTGTGTATCACTGTATGTATGTGTGCATCACTGTATGGTTGTGTGCACCACTCTATTGTTGTGTGTATCACTGCACGGTTGTGTGTATTACTGCATTATGTGTGTATCAAACTATGTATGTGTTACACTGCATGGTTGTGTGTATCACTGCATTGTTGTGTGTATCACTGCATGGTTGTGTGTATCACTGAATGGTTTTGTGTACCACTGCATGGTTATGTGTAACACTGTATGGTTGTGTATATCGTTATATGGTTTTGTGCATCACTGTATGATTGTGTGTATCCCTTCAAGGTTGAGTGTAGCACTGTATGGTTGTGTGTATCACTGTATGGTTGTGTGTATCATTGTATTGTTGTGTGTATCACCGCATGGTTGTGTGTAACACTGTATGGTTGTGTGCACCATTCTATGGTTGTGTGTATCACTGTTTGTTTGTGTGTAACACTGCATGGTTGTGTGCATCACTGCATTGTTGTGTGTATCACTGCATGGTTGTGTGTATCACTGTATGGTTGTATATCACTGTATAGTTGTGTGCATCACTGCATTGTTGTGTGTATCACTCTCTTGTGTGCATCACTGTATGATTGTGTGTATCACTGCATTGTGTGTATCACTGTATGTTGTGTGTATCACTGTATGTTTTTGTGTATCACTGTATGGTTGTGTGTATCACTGCATTGTGTGTATCAGTGCATAGTTGTGCGTACCACTGCATTGTTGTGTGTATCACTGCATGGATGTGTGTATCGCTGTATGGTTGTGTGTATAACTGCATGGTTGTGTGTATCACTGTACTGTATGCATCAGTGCATGGTTGTGTGTATCACTGCATAGTTGTGTGTATCACTGCATGGTTTTGTGCATCGCTGTATGGTTGTGTGTATCACTGCATTGTGTTTATCACTGTATGGTTGTGTGTATCACTGTATGGTTGTTTTATCACTGCATTGTGTGTATCACTGCATAGTTGTGTGTATCGCTGCATGGTTGTGTGTATCACTGCATGGTTGTGTGTATCCCTGTACTGTATGCATCAGTGCATGGTTGTGTGTATCACTGCATAGTTGTGTGTATCACTGCATGGTTGTGTGTATCATTGTATGGTTGTGTGTATCACTGCATGGTTGAGTGTATCACTGCATTGTAAGCATCACTATATGGTTGTGTGTATCACTGTATGGTTGTGTGTATCACTGCATGGTTGTGTGTATCACTGCATAGTTGTGTGTATCACTGTATTGTTGTGTGTATCACTGTATGGTTGTGTGTATCAGTGGTGCAACCATGCAGTGTTACACACAACCATACAGTGATACACACAACCATACAGTAATACATAGAACCATACAGTGATACACACAGCCATACAGTGATAGAAACAACCATACAGTGATACAAACAACCATGCAGTTTTACACACAGTACAACGATACACACAACCATGCAGTGATACACACAACCATACCGTGAGTACACACAACCATACAGTGATACACACAACCATCAGTGATACATACAGCCATGTATTGATACACACAATGCAGTGATGCACTAAACCTTTTTTTGATGCACACAACTCTACGTCGATGTCACAGTATTTTGCAATTGTGCAGAAATACATTTTCAGTTTTTAGGTTTAGAGTGCTCCACTCCAAAACGTGATTTTTGTCAAATCATCATGAATATTCATTAACTGCTGCCTTTTTACTTTTTCTGTGCGTGTGTATCCCGGAATAGTAAGTATGTTAAACCACCATATCTTCCTAAGTAAACAATGACACCGCAACCTGCACAACTTGCCGCTCTATATAAATAAATCAGTTTCGGGACAATGCAGGTAGTGGAACAAATTTTGTCCAATCACGACCATGAAAACTTTCGTCGTGTGCCTTTGTGCGGTAGTGGTATGTCTGGCAGCGGAGGGAGAAGGGTTTGCTGCTTCAAGGGCTGAAGATGGTCCATCCACAGCTTATCCTGAGCAATCGTTCGATCAGAAACTTGACCACTTCAACGTGGTTGATACTCGCTACTGGAAGCAGGTGAGTTCCTTATCTTGTAAGCTCTTTCGATCAATTTTTCTTGCGGTACACATGCGTTTGCATTTCCTGAAAAAGACATCAATGATAACTATGCACGTACAAGCATGCTTCTAAAAGGCCACAATTAAATCCCCACGCCGTTTGGCTACGGTGACAATCAACGATGTCCGTAAAGTCCCTGAGACGGTGTAGCCTTGTGGTTAAAGCATTTGCTTGTCACGCCAAAGAACAGGGTTTGATTCTCCAACAATGTGAGAAAACCCATTTCTGGCGTGAATATTGCTAAAGCGTGAAGTCGATCGTAAGGCCATGAAAAGTTGAGACCGATGGGTTATTCGTATAATATACACTGACCCTTTGGGAAACTGAATCATATTTTCCAAAATTTTAAAGTCGTTGCATTGTTTTTGGCACAGAAAACATTCAGCCGAATTCTTTGGAAGGATTACAAGATTGACCTTTCCCTTATTTTGATCAACACGTTCAGTCGTGCAAATGATTCTTTCATGTCTATTTTCGCTATATGATTTCAGCGATATTTCGTTGTCGACAAGTTCTACAAACCAGGCGGGCCAATCTTCCTGTTTGTAGGTCCACAGACACCTCTTTCTCCTGCTATATTTACTGGGAATGGAGCTTGGCTAGATTATGCTAAGACATTCAACGCCATTGGCTTTGCTGTGGAGCATCGATATTATGGGAAAAGCCAGCCAACACCGTAAGTGACAGCTTTCTGCGTGACTATGTTATGACAATATGAGGGATGACTTGAACTTCATCGTGAAAATCCTGGAATATTCACATAGCTCCAGTTCCAATTTCTGTCTACAAATGTCAAGTCACCATTGATCTTACTCATTCCACGAACCTTACTGACAGCTTCATTGATTGTGTTGTTTAGCCTTTAATTCAGCCTTCATTGTAAATGTTTCATTATACACATGTTTGAGGAATCTTACGTTTCAAGCTTTAGCGCACCATTAACCAAAATGATGTCCGAGGCAATTCCCTATTTTCCACTGTAACATACCTACTCGTATTTGACACATGTTTTTATATGATGATCCGTAGAATTGATCTTCAGTAACCCATGCTTGTCGTAAGAGGCAACTAACGGGATCGGGTGGTCGCTGACTTGATTGACACATGTCATCGTATCCCCATTGCATAGATCGATGCTAATGCTGTTGATCACTGGATTGCATGGTCCAGACTCGATTATTTACAGCTGCCATATAGCTGGAATAGTTGCTGAGTGCGAAGTAAAACTAAACTCATTCACTCACTTAATATGATGGGTGCAATCAGAGAGCCTAAATACACCGATTCACTGTGTTGAATTATCTCTATTTTACAAGATAACTGATATTTTACAATGAACTTCAATGAACTAACACTTGAGCAGAAATACCGGTGTGATTTTAGCATGAAAGGGGCCACAGACACATATGGATTTTAATGATTGATTCAAGACAAATTGTTCAAGGTTGACGTATCATTTAATTTTGCAATACATTTTCATGGCCAGTTCAACGACTTGTCTGTCACTAAATCTCCAGTTTGGCGTATTCGCCACAAAATATCACGTACTATTCCGTATTATTCGTTGTTCCTCCAGAGACTTTAGTGTTAATAATCTACAGTACCTGACCGTTGAACAAGCGCTGGAGGACTTGGCTACCTTCATAGTCAAGACAAACAAGGAACGCAACTTCAAGAATCCGAAATGGATCACATTTGGAGGATCATACACAGGTAATCTGCTGCCATGATACCATGTGTTAGATACTTATTATACTATTTACCAACTAGATGTTAGTGATATGCTCTAAAACTACTTAGACTGCGAACAAAGATAGACTATTTTGTTAGCTGTATTACATTTTGTACAAAGAGGCCATGTGAAGCATGGAATCGATATCACAACTACTGTTTGTTTTTAAAACACAGCTATACAAGCTTCAGTTCCCTTCTTAGCTTGATTGTCAGTTGATTAATGGACCACACTCCAGTGAATGATACCATGACCATCGGTATTTGCGACTGGGAAACGATGAAATGTCCGAGACTGACAACCCGATCCCATCAACCGTCTTTTGCCACAAGCATGAGATGATGAAGACAAATTTAAGCCCGGATCTTCACAAGTTGTCAGGATGGGGCGTGAGAAAGTCGTCAGAGTTTTTTTCTGATACATTTTCACAAATCAAATATACACAAAGAACTTTATTAAGCGCCCCTAAATTTTGCAATGATAAGGTTCCAACACGCACATAACACTTCTCGTGGTGACCACGATGGAAGAACATGAGTTTTTCTGACCCGTATGATCCTTTGACTCATCCAACATGACAAAAAATTGGAATCCATGTTGATTTTATGATGATAATTGCTCATATAAAAAAACCCCAGTGATTTTCATACAAAACCATGTCTGTTCAAGTATGGTCCTTGAAAGTTTAATGTTGAATTTATTGGTGAATGTAAAACATTCAAAATGTCATGTGGCGTGTCCTACGCGATTCAAGGTCAGTACCGAGTGTAACCTCTATGTGACTGTAAGACAGCCAGCACCCTCCTCCTCATACCCCCTGTCAGCCTCCTGATCCTCTGAAGGGGCAGTCTACGCCAATACTCGTGTAAAGCAACTTCCAGCTGGGCCAGGTTCTGTACAGAAGGTCCCCTTTGTTGCATACGAAGACCAATCATATCCCAGATATGCTCCAATGGTTAAGATCGGGGCTCATTCAATCGTGAGCTATGTCAGGGGAGCTTAACTAAGTTCTTTGTGTATATTATCATATGTTCTTTAGTCCATCCTGGACACAGGTATTTGGTGCCAAAACAATTCAACATTTTAGCTGTGATCAAACACAAAATGGGGTTGAGTGGGGGGAGTATTCTCTAATCGAGGACAGCTTTAACCAAAGATCGTAGGTTCGAATCCAGGTCTGATCTGCTTCAGGACTACTTTTCACATAAGCTGTTAACTATGATATCAAGGTGAGACTGTTTTAGAGGTATTGAAACACTATCTGATGCACGAATCTGTAGTTTACAATGGTAATTCCAATGTAGATCAAAATGAATGGTCAAAAACTTATTTGAATTGTAGGTATGATGTCAACTTGGCTCCGGTCCAAGTTCCCCCATCTCGTCACAGGAGCTGTAGCTGACAGTGCACCAATAACTTCACCAGTGTTTGTCAAAGGTGATTATATGTGTGTTTGTTTATGAACATCTTCCGGAAAACAAACAGCTAAAATCTAAACCACATATTAATCTCTTTTCTAAATATACATTACCGAGGCAGCTCCGTTGTTGTTTGTTGTAAGTGCCATATTCCGACTGTGTTCTGATGACCTGGGCCTAGATTTCCGAAGCTCTACGCTACGATAGTCTTAAGTGCCATACATTAACATTAACTTACGACTATCTTAGCGCTAAGAGAGCTTCGAAAATCTAGGCCCTGGACCCCGTTCCTCAACGCGATCGTAGTTCTTCGACAGTCGTAAGTCTATGTTAAAGTATGGGAGTTATGATCGATCACCTTAGCGCTACGACAGTCGTAAGTCTATGTTAAGGTATGGGAGTTACTATCACCTCAGCGCTACGATCTCTTTGGGCTACGAGGACCCCGTTCCACAAGCCGATCGTAGCGCTACGACAGTCGTAAGTCTATGTTAAAGTATAGAAGTTACGATCACCTTAACGCTACGATCGCTATGTGGAACGGGTCACTGATCCGTAACATGATTATGAGATCGTATCAGATAATGCGGATCGAAATACTGCAATGTTGCAATTGAAACAAGTGAACCATCTATCATCACCTGTTACTAACAGTTGCACTTACAATATTTTATCATCGTTTATTACGAAGGATTCAGAAAACTCCTCGAGATGTGTTAGAGTTGTTTAAAGCAGCACGATAAAATATTCCAGCTACACGACAGCGGCCTGTAAATTTTGTAATCAGACAAATGATCGATATCATGAGCACAAATCCCGCCATCTGAGAACGATGACACACATTAACCAAGTCATCGACACCCGATCCGTCGCCTACTGACCAGAGCAAAGATTACTTGGACCTATTCTAACCCAGCCCACTGACCGGGCACTTCCGGTAGGACGTATATGATCAATATATGCTTGCGTAGATTGAAAGATTATGTTATGATCAGCCATAATTTGTGTCAACGCTTTCAGAGTATTTTGTTACTGTCGGAGACGATCTGCGTACAGAATCAGGATGCTACCAGGCTGCGTCAGATATATTTGATGAAGTCAGGGCAAGTCTCAAGACGGATGCTGGCGTCAAGAAGCTGCAGTCGCTCTTCAGGTGAGGTGGTTAAGTGGTCCCTGTTCAGCTTGTCTCATTGTCAGAGACTATAAAATATTTTATGGTTTCTAGTTTGTCATAATTTTGTCAATACATTAATTGCAGTCTTGAATTTATGGCTGACTTGACGTAAATGCTAATGAAGTAATCATTTTACGATTGTGTCGAAATCGGATAACTTGAAGTATTTATTTACGCCCATTCTAATTCGATACAGCAGTATTTGACTGTAGGTTGTTTACTTTATTTGCTGAATTTCCAGATGCTGATAAATATATTTTGCATGCATAAAATGTACTTTATTGCATCAAAAGGTAGCATTATTCATGTCAAAACATCATTAGTGCCTTCCCAAAAATAATTTTAAAAAGTATCTACAAATTACATTTTGCTACATGAACAAAATATATATGTCCAAAAAAGGATGAGGAAAACAAAGTGAGGCGGTAACAAATATCATGTAGCCTGTTAATGGCATCATCCACAGTACTATGTATATGATATCCATCAACTGTCCGTGTGCGTGCGTGCGTGAGCTTGTAAGTGCGTTAGTGTGCGTGTTGTTTAAAGCCGCTCTCAGTTTCATCCCAAATGACATGTTCCTCCACATAGTCGACTCTAGACCGAGTAATTCGGTGATCGATATTGTGAGCAACACTCAGACTGCAGTTACCATTAACTACCATCGCGAAATCAGGGTACGTCGACACACATAGCCTTAAGAAGGCTCTCTGGTGCAGAAGTTGTATTCGTGTGTGTGCGTGCGTGTGAACAGAACGGCTGGGGATGAATTCTAACACTAAATACCCACGAGTGCTGGAGTCCACCAAAGTTCATTTGTTGCTGCTGTTTTGTCGTTTCGGGCGAAACTTCTCCAGTGTTGCCTTCATGTTTCAACATGTTAGAGGAACATATATAACCATTTATTCAACCTTGTGAAAGTCATAATAACCCCGTCACTCTTGAGGCGGAATGCTGTCAGAATGAAAAATGTCTGGAGATTTCTGGAAATTCGAACTGATTTCTAAAACTTCTTATTACATTCCGAATGCATTTCAATTGTTCGGGTCAATTCTTGCAACATGCCCGAATGTTTTGAACATTCGAAGTGGAAAAATATCGAACGGTATTTGAGGTGCATTCGAACTGCATTCTAAGTATTGATACTGCATTCTAACTGCATTCTAACTGCATTCTAAGTATTCTTACTGCATTCTAAGTATTTTGAACATATTCGAGGGGGAATAAAAAAGACAAGCCACTTCAAATCCTGTCAGAATGTCTCGAATGCGCCTCGAATGAGTCGGAATGTATCTCGATTGCTGCTGGACTTCAGGTGTATTCTTCAAATGTATCGGAATATTTCGATTGATGTCGGAGTCGGAATACAGCTCGAATGTACATCGAATACACCTGGAATACATTCAGATCGTCCCGAATGCTCCTCAGAAGAGCCCTGACGCCATCAGAACACCACCGAGTCGCATGGAAACGTGGCCACCTGTCCCCGAAACGTTGACGTCAGATAGCACTTGGGAGTCACGTTCTTACAAAGCTTGAATTTTGTTATTATTTTGACATTCTCTCCCGAATGCGGTTCGAATTTTGGAAAATTTGTTTTTGGCTGATTCTCCTTGATTCCTGTCAATTTGAAATATGTGTGAAGGAGTGAGTGAGTGAGTTAATATTTAACGTCTCAGCCCTATCGTGACGCAGTGAAGGAGCCTGAACCAGAGACAAATAACTCAAGTGTTCAAACCCAACCTTTTATTATCCACAGAAAAATATCATGCCTAATACATACGAAAACGTACGTGTAGTGATGACATGTTACATATGCTGCAGGTTCTGTGACTTCAATGCTTCAAATAAACTGGACGTAGAGAGTATGAATATGTTCCTTCTCAACCAGATTGGTTTGACGGCAGCATTCAACAAGGAAGATTCCGATATCATGGTATGTGACTTATCTGTCTTTAGATTGACACATTTACTTCATCGATGAAGATGAGGGATGTTATAGCCTAGCGATGTAATTCCTTGTTTTATCATGTCATGCTTGAATATAGCTATTATGGTCACATATCATACGTTCATTTATTATCCAGTTTGGGACGCTGGGGTAGCCTAATGGTTAAGCGTTGGCTCGTCACGCCGAAGACCCGGGTTCGAATCCCAACATGGGTACAATGTGTGAAGTGTGAAGCCCATTTCTGGTGTCCCCCGCCGTGTTGTTGCTGGAATATTGCAAACGGCAGAGTATAATAATTCTGAACCACCAACCCACCAATACCACCGCCCACCAGCGGCGTAAAACCAAACTCAGTCAGTCAGTATTATCCAGTTTAGCATTTTCTGTTGTTTAACCCCGCATTCAGCAATTATTCGTTTATCTATTACAGTTTTCTGTAAATAATCTAGTTTGAACATCCAAGCACCAACTTAACACAGATTTCTGACTGCAATTCGAATGAATGCGTACCTATTAGATCATGTCATTGAAATTGGACTTAAAGGGTCATGAGAGGCGGTAGGTTGGCCACGTGGTTAACCCATTCGCTCGTCACGCCGAGGACCCGGTTTCGATTCCCCACATGGGTACTGTGTGTGAAGCCCATTTATGGAGTCCCCTGTCGTGATATTGCAAGAATAATGCAAACGGCAGAGTAAAATCATTCTGATCCACCAACCCACCAATACCACCACCCACCTGCTCACTCACTCACTCACTAAAACGGCATGACAGACCAGGGAACGTTGGTATCAAGGATGTGTATAATAGGCGCACAGACATGGTTTTATATTCCGTTCCTTTTTCAGAGTCCACTGGACGTTCGGTCCGTGTCTACAATGTGCAAAATGCTCACTGACAAAACAGCAGGGACGCCGCTAGAACGATTCTCACGCTATGCTGTTATCGTCAATCGAAATTATACATCCCTGAATGGTCAATGTAGGAACATTACGTTCGAGAGAGCCGTGAGCTTGGGCAGAGATATACGCTACAACAACAGGAACCTATTTGCAGGTATTGTCGGTCCTCAGTCATTTCTTACAAACAATCTATACACTTAACCCAGTAAAGGCATTCGAACCCAGAACTTTTGCATTAGGACTAGGCTACCACACCGCTTCTGGACGGAGATTGGGATTTAATGCTGCTTTCAACCTGCAGGTTGGTGGGCTTCAGCTCCCCTTGACTTGTATTTAGATGAGGATTCCAAAGGGTGTGAGGGTGTGAGTACGGTGTTTGTGAATAGCCCTGTTCTATATAATCTACCAAAACCTTCACACATATATCACTACTGTTTGGGAAACTAAACTTTCAGAAAAAGTCTTAAATGTCTTAACTCTACCAACCCATACCAAATATTATGTTAATTATGACATAATCGATTAGGACAGTGATTGAGAAATACAAAAAGACAGAAATGAAAGCAAACATTACTTGATCTCAAGACCCATGTTAGAGAACTTACAAATGGAAGATCTTCCTCATCAGGTGATTGTGTTTCAAATATTTCACTCATGTTCAGCACGTCTCAATGCCCTAATTGATATATATTTTTGGTTTGAAAAAAGAAAACACCATTGTGGTTCAACCTGAAAGACCTGCTTTAACAGGGGTAGATTATGTTCGGAACTTTGCCTGACATTGTTAATAGCATGATATAAATCTTGCAACATCTACTGTTTCAAGGCAATTTATATCGATCTGCCCCGTGCTAATGAACGCCTTCGACGGTACAGGAATATGATCTGAATGGAGCATTTTCAGCATTAATGTCTCAATGTACATTTCTATCAAGTTAACGACGGTTTTCCACGAGTCTCTTGCACATATGTGTAGTAACTATAAGCTTATTTGATTTGATTTAGGCCAAATTATTACGGAAGAAAAAATATCTAGCTAAAATATTTGAAATGAAAACTTATGAAGCTAGACATTTCTGTAGAAACGTATTTTCTGACCTCATTTGTGGGCAATGGTTATGAATACATATTACGAGACAAATAAGATCGATTCATCTCCTGGAGAGCTTTCCAATTATATAAACTTGGTACTTGAAGCTCGATCCTTTCTTTTTGGTCAAGTTCGAACTGATGGCGATTACGATGTTCTCCTGCTCTCCCTTTTATAATACGAGAAGAATTCAGTGTTGCCAAGTTACTGAAGCTTGTTCTTTTGTAGCCATTTCAAGTTCATTAAACACAAGTACACAATTCTATAAGTGGCCTTCTTCAATTTAATTTGCTCAATGTCATAAAATCAGTTTTCTATCAAACGTTTAATAGATTGTTAGAGTAATCTGTATTGTAGTTTGTTACTTTTCATTCAATATAAAGGAAGATAATATTTTTCTTAAATTCCACACCGTAGTCGTAATTGTAAATTAACAGGATTTCCTGGTTCATATATTACATGGTTGTCGTGTTATATACATTCCGTCATTGCATGGCAAGAGTTCTGGTGTGCGGCTGTAAATATTTACTTTGCTTGGAGCACTGTGTGAATGGCGAATCATAATATTTTCACAGCTCTTTTGCCCTTTACATCAAATGGGATATGTTTTAATTGTGAGTATTCATTTACGCCGCTTTCAACACAAATCCATCAATATCGCCACAGGCGAAAGGAGAAATTGGCTAAACATATTGTACCCTCGTGGGGAAGTGAAAAACTACAAGGCTACCCCACCTCATTCAGTATCAAGGCTAACATTGGTTGACTATTCTTTTGCAACTGGCCATTTACGTCTAATTAGAAATGATCAGACATCGATCCAGTTGCCTCTTCATCTATCATTTTGTGAACAAAAAGCTGTTTTGCAGAACGTCAGTGGAGGTATCAGAAGTGCACTCAGACTGGTTTGTTCACTCCAACATATGCAAACAATCAACCCTTTGGACAAGCCGTGAGTGAAGAGTAAGTACCAACATTGTGTGATCTTATACTGCACATGTCAAAACGACTTTTAGGTACTTTTAAAAGTCTGCAAGTCGTAGCAGCCCTGTGTGGGGGCCCTGATCTTGTTAGATATTTAGAGCCGATGCTTGGTTTTAATAATTAACACACATGAGGATGGAGTAACCGTATACATTAATCATTGTTGTTGGCTTGTTTGTTCAACACCACGTTCAGCAATATTCCAGCTTTGTGACTGCAGTCTGTAAATGATCTGGTTTGGGCAGACAATACAGAGTTGACGTCATCTGCATCGATACAGGCCTAGCCAACTGATCCCGTTATTCGCCTCTTACGATAAGCATGGGTTGCTAAAGACCAATTCTAACCCGGATTCTAACGGGTCATATATTTGTCAATACACTGGGGATATAAACAATAAATTGAAGTCGTCGCAATCCTGACTTGAGTCTAACAAACATCTCACTTAAATCTTTCTGACTTAAGAACAATCTGATTTAAAACTCGTCAACGTTGATGGCGCGATTCCTTTCTTTCCAGGTACTTTCTTAAAGGCTGTGAAGGCTACTTCGGTCCAGAATTCAACCGGTCTCTGATTCTGAAGGGCCACGACGAATTAATAACCAACTACGCCGGACTTGACGTCAAGAACACCAACATCGTCTACACACAAGGATCCTTTGACCCATGGGGCAAGTATGGATTTAACACGGACCCGAACCCAGGAGCCCATGTTATAATCATCAACGGTAAGTTTCACTCGTCAGTGATGAAGCAAAATATCACGATATTGTTAAGTTTGCTTTAGACAGAAAAATATTTTGATGCACACAAATATTTCATTGTTTCCATTTTCTTGAATCTGGGGAAGACAAAATTTTATAGGTTCTTTAGATACATCCGATAACTGCTGATGCGTTGGTACAAGAACGTTGTATGTTTAACCTCATGGTCAGAGGAACTGAGTCTCATGAAACAGAGCAGTAGAAGAAACAATTGTAACAATAAATAGTGACCATGAACACAAACAAAACGAACTATTAGATAACCGATTTCTTGTACGAAAAGTGAAACTTGTTAGCTATGGACAGAGATGGTCCTACTTCACAGCATCATGTCAGTGGAACTGAGGTGAGGTGAAACTGGGTTTAACGTCGTACTTGAGAATATTTCGCTCATATGACGACGTGTATGCGCGTGTATGTGTATGTGCGGCTGCTTGTACTAGCCCAGACTTAAGCTGGTTTTATAGTGCTAGCCCACTGAGATACCATGCCGCAGTGAAGCATGAATACCCCACTCAGACACATTCTACTGACTCCGAGCCGACCAGTCCTTGATGTACCTATTTATACCGAGCGCCAGGCAGGGACCAACAAGTACCATATTTTAACGTCTTTTGGTATGACGCGGTCGAGAATCTAACCATTACACAACGGAGGCGGTCCCAGTGGAACGGTCTTCGACATTATTTCTATACTTGTCCAACCTATTCCAGCTTTAGAACTGCTGTCAAAACCTGTCTCTTCCCTCAAGTTTTCGGTTTTCTTTGAACATGATACTGACCACTGGAAAAGCGCAACGCACATTGACTTTTATTATCATTCTAATTGTTTTATTGCAATGTGGTTAGATGGTATAATCGTGCATGTTGCAGGTGGTGGCCACACCCCAGACATGGGAGCTCCTGCTGCCACAGACATTGCTGGGGTCACACAAGCCAGAGCCAGGATCCGACAACTCATCAGACAGTGGATATCGGCTGGTGCAGTCCCGTTAGTCGGGTGAAGTGAACGTCAACGAACTGACGCGTCCATTTTCGACAATTTATTCGCATTGATTACTTAGATTTGTTACTGAAACTAGTAAAAACACAATTTCGAAGTCATATGATATTGCTACTGTATATTAGTAATGTCCAAAAGATAAAACGCATGGATCAAAAATATTCTTGTGATTATTTCCATATGCCATTACGTCTTCTCCTTGTGGTACCGGTTGTCAAATTGTATAGATTGCGTCCCTTTGAGGTGCCAGGATCCACTCAGAGGAAACCTTGATTTCTTAGCACCCTACTCGTCTCTAAATAACTATGATATAAAGTGGTCGTGGTAAATGTGGACATCATGTAAACGAGCAATTGCCAAAGACAAGCGTCACCACTAGACGCCATTGCTGATGTTGGTATGCCGAGTGGCAGTGACTCATTAACATAGTTGGCTTCACAATAAATAATAGTCCCATGAGACCAAAGGATTGCCCTGAGATGTAGGGGACACTATTCGAAATGTTATTTATATTGGATATTTATATAGCGCACATATCCACACACTAGTGCAAGTTTCAGGCGCTGGTATTTTTTCCCTCGATCATTGGATGTCAATCTCAAAGGCACACTATCTACCAGTAAAATGTTACTTTTTAACAGCACCTTATGTGTTTCACTGTATCAATTACGAACAGCATTCGCTCATTCACCCTCAGTGGGATGGGACTGGGTTGGTGGGGATTGAAGGGGTGTCAACAGATCTGCATCCAACACTGTTAGTTTCAGAGGATACAGTTTAGAAACAGCTTGAAATAGTCACACTTATGCCAGTTCAAAGGTCCTACATCAAAAGTGCTTTGAAACAGTTTGATGTGAACTTCTGGACACCACTGTACTCCTAAATGGGGCGGTGGGGTAGCCTAATGGTTTAAGCTTTCGTTCGTCACGCGATTCGATTCCCACATGGGTACAATGTCTGATGCCAATTTCTCGTGTTACCCGCCGTGATATTGCTGAAATATTGTGGCGTAAAACCTCACTCACTCACTCACTCACTTCCTCAAAGATGTAGATTTGGCTTTCGGTTGATGCATGTAATGCACTTGAACCATCATCAATCCAGAATCCAAGAAAGAAAAACATATTTAAAGGGACATTCAACCTGGGCAAATCAGCAACCCAAGCAAAGCCGAGTCCCAGCAGTTTGGGTCTCTCCATAGCAATTAAGAATACCATTTGCTCATTTGCCCTGAGGGGTTGGGATTGGGGGAAAGGGTTCAGTGTCCATATGTCTGGACAGAAGAATTTCAACCAAGCCCAAAAAACTAAATAAATAAAACCAACACCACACACACACACACACACACACACACACACACACAATGAAATACAAATAAAAATAATAATAAAAAATAGATAATGAATAAATAATAATAAAAAAAAAATTTAAAACAAAACACATTCGCGTTAACACACCACAGGGATGTTGTTGTGGACAGCCGAATGTGATGCACGTACAACATGCACAACGGCGTACAGCTCTGAACTCTGAAGTAAATAGTTTTCAGTCACACTGTCGGTGGTTGCCCGTAACAGTGTCAAATTACATGCACATTTGTTAAGCGAAGTTATAGACTTTAATTAAAACAAGTAAGAGTTTTAACTGTCACATAATGGACAAAAACATTCTTAAATAATGACGTATTGGTGTGAATATTCAATTAATGAATTGCTTCTGAAATCGTGGGTTGATGTAAATACTAGTACGATGTAAATTTAAAGAGACATGAACGTTAATCTCTGTTGAATTGTTTTTATGACTTCCACTGCCTAACAATGTGGCAATTCTTGTGATATTTTTACTCCGACAATGGCCATCATTACTGCAAAAGAGTTTGGCTTGGCACATGCAACAACTTCTGAATTACTGTCTTGTTATCTGACATATAATCTTTGACTTAAACACATTTAGTTGTAAGTCAACAAAGTCAACGTTATCGTGGTTAGAGGGTGCAGAAAAGACACAAAGACATAATTATTGAGGGGGTAAGATACAGGTATACTATATTGAATGTTGGACTGCCTTAAATATAGATTCATGTGCTGTAACTATGAGGTCTACAATTCCGTATTGCATTTTATGAACAATATTTCTAACGATGGTGATAAGATGATGATTGTATCAGTACTTCTACTATGTACGATGATTGTATTAGTACTTCTACTATGTACGATGATTTTATTAGTACTTCTACTATGTATGACGATTCATGATTATTGCATAATACAACCCAACCTGTGGATGATGAAAATCTGTATCATGTATTAACTTCTAACGATTGTAGTATGTACCATGTCAACAATGTACTTGGGAAATGAAAATACTTTAAAACAACCCCCCAAAACCCAGAAAACAAATCAACGGGGCTGAACATAGTCACACGCTGATGACTAATCCCAATGAAATGTCCATGATATGCTTTTTTTCTCATTAATTTGAACATATACGGTAAATCTTTAAACACGCCACTACCCATGACAGGGTGTTGACAACATTCGTCGCCATGTGATCTGCCACACTTAATTACCCATGCCACGTCGTTGTCAACACATTATTACGTCTCCATGTTCCTGTCACACTTCATTACAAATGCCACGTCGTTGTCAACATAATATTACGTCTCCATGTTCTCTGTCACACTTCATTACACATGCCACGTCGTTGTCAACATAGTATTACGTCTCCATGTTCTCTGTCACACTTCATTACCCATGCCACGTCGTTGTCAACATAGTATTACGTCTCCAAGGTCTCTGTCACACTTCATTACACATGCCACGTTGTTGTCAACATAGCATTATGTCTCCATGTTCTCTGTCACACTTCATTACACATGCCACGTCGTTGTCAACATAGTATTACGTCTCCATGGTCTCTGTCACACTTCATTACACATGCCACGTCGTTGTCAACATAGCATTACGTCTCCATGGTCTCTGTCACACTTCATTACACATGCCACGTTGTTGTCAACATAGCATTATGTCTCCATGTTCTCTGTCACACTTCATTACACATGCCACGTCGTTGTCAACATAGTATTACGTCTCCATGGTCTCTGTCACACTTCATTACACATGCCACGTCGTTGTCAACATAGTATTACGTCTCCATGTTCTCTGTCACACTTCATTACATGCCACGTCGTTGTCAACATAGTATTACGTCTCCATGTTCTCTGTCACACTTCATTACACATGCCACGTCGTTGTCAACATAGTATTACGTCTCCATGTTCTCTGTCACACTTCATTACACATGCCACGTCGTTGTCAACATAGTATTACGTCTCCATGTTCTCTGTCACACTTCATTACACATGCCACGTCGTTGTCAACATAGTATTACGTCTCCATGTTCTCTGTCACACTTCATTACACATGCCACGTCGTTGTCAACATAGTATTACGTCTCCATGTTCTCTGTCACACTTCATTACACATGCAACGTCGTTGTCAACATAGTATTACGTCTCCATGTTCTCTGTCACACTTCATTACACATGCCACGTCGTTGTCAACATAGCATTATGTCTCCATGTTCTCTGTCACATTTCATTACACATGCAACGTCGTTGTCAACATAGTATTACGTCTCCATGTTCTCTGTCACACTTCATTACACATGCCACGTCGTTGTCAACATAGTATTACGTCTCCATGTTCTCTGTCACATTTCATTACACATGCCACGTCGTTGTCAACATAGTATTACGTCTCCATGTTCTCTGTTACACTTCATTACACATGCCACGTCGTTGTCAACATTGTATTACGTCTCCATGTTCTCTGTCACACTTCATTACACATGCCACGTCGTTGTCAACATAGTATTACGTCTCTATGTTCTCTGCCACACTTCATTACACATGCCACGTCGTTGTCAACATAGTATTATTTCACCATGTTCCCTGTCATAATTCATTACACATGCCACGTCGTTGTCAACATAGTATTACGTCTCCATGTTCTCTGTCGCATTTCATTACAAATTCCACGTCGTTGTCAACATAGTATTACCCCTCCATGTTCTCTGTCACACACATGCCACGTCGTTGTCAACATAGTATTACGTCTCCATGTTCAACGTCGTTGTCAACATAGTATTACGTCTCCATGTTCTCTGTCACATTTCATTACACATGCCACGTCGTTGTCAACATAGTATTACGTCTCCATGTTCTCTGTCACACTTCATTACACATGCAACGTCGTTGTCAACATAGTATTACGTCTCCATGTTCTCTGTCACACTTCATTACACATGCCACGACGTTGTCAACATTGTATTACGTCTCCATGTTCTCTGTCACACTTCATTACACATGCCACGTCGTTGTCAACATAGTATTATTGCGTCTCCATGTTCTCTTTGTCACACTTTCATTACACATGCCACGTCGTTGTCAACATAGTATTACGTCTCCATGTTCTCTGTCACACTTCATTACACATGCCACGTCGTTGTCAACATAGTATTACGTCTCCATGTTCTCTGTCACACTTCATTACACATGCAACGTCGTTGTCAACATAGTATTACGTCTCCATGTTCTCTGTCACACTTCATTACACATGCCACGTCGTTGTCAACATAGTATTACGTCTCCATGTTCTCTGTCACACTTCATTACACATGCCACGTCGTTGTCAACATAGTATTACGTCTCCATGTTCTCTGTCACACTTCATTACACATGCCACGTCGTTGTCAACATAGTATTACGTCTCCATGTTCTCTGTCACACTTCATTACACATGCCACGTCGTTGTCAACATAGCATTATGTCTCCATGTTCTCTGTCACATTTCATTACACATGCAACGTCTTTGTCAACATAGTATTACGTCTCCATGTTCTCTGTCACACTTCATTACACATGCCACGTCGTTGTCAACATAGTATTACGTCTCCATGTTCTCTGTCACATTTCATTACACATGCCACGTCGTTGTCAACATAGCATTACGTCTCCA